CCAGAACTCGTCCACGAGTGTATAATAAGCCACGTGGTTTGGCCCCCTTATAAAAAAAAAAAAGACTCAATACGCTTCACAATAGCACAAAGAATTAAAGTACCTAGGAATATACTTAACCAAGGAGGTAAAAGACCTCTACAGGGAGAACTATGAAACACTGAGGAAGGAATAGCAGAGGATGTAAACAGATGGAAATCCTTCCATGCTCGTGGATCGGCAGACTCAACATCATTAAAATGTCTATACTACCCAAACTGATCTACAGATTCAATGCAATACCTATTAAAAATCCCATCAGTAGTCTTCACAGATATAGAAAAAATAATTTTACGCTTTGTATGGAACCAAAGAAGACCCCGAATATCAAGAGCAATTCTAGGCAACAAAAACAAAATGGGAGGTATTAATATGCCAGATATCAAACTATACTACAAAGCTGTAGTAATTAAATCAATAAATATGGTATTGGCACAAAAATAGGAATATTGACCAGTGGAACAGATCTGAGAATCCTTATATAAAACCATCCTCATATAGCCATCTTATCTCTGACAAAGCAGACAAAACATACGCTGGGGAAAAAATCCTTTTCAATAAATGGTGCTGGGAAACTGGATAGCCACTTGTAGAAGGCTAAAGCAGACCCACACCTTTCACCTTCAAAAATCAACTCACGCTGGATAGCAGACTAAACCTAAGGTATGAAACTATTAGAATTCTAGAGGAAAGTTGGAACACTCTCCTAGACATCGGCCTAGGCAAAGATTTTATGAAGAAGTCCCAAAGGCATCAAAGCACAACAAAAAATAATAAATGGGACATGATCAAACTACAAAGCTTCTGCACAGCCAAAGAAATAGTCATGAAAGTAAACAGACAACCTACAGAATGGAGAAATTTTGCATCCTATGCATCTGATAAGGGACTGATAACTAGAATATACTTAGAACTCACGAAATCAGTAAGAAAAAATCAAATAACCCTATTAAAAGTGGGCAAAGGACTTGAACAGAACTTTTCTAAAGAGACAGAAGAATGCCAACAAACATATGAAAAATGCTCATCATTTCTAATCATCAGCGAAATGCAAATCAAAACTACAATGAGATATCACTTAACTCCAGTGAGAATGGCCTTTATCAAAAAGTCTCCAAATAACAAATGCTGGCGTGGATGCAGAGAGAGAGAGGAACACTCCTACACTGCTAGTGGGACTGCAAACTAGTTCAACCTCTGTGGAAAGCAATATGGAGATACCTTAAAGCGATACAAGTGGATCTACCATTTGATCCAGCAATCCCATTACTGGGCATCTACCCAAAAGATCCAATGACACTCTACAAAAAGACACCTGCACTCAAATGTTTATAGCAGCACATCATAATTGCAAGGCTGTGGAAACAGCCCAAGTGCCTATCAATCCAAGAATGGATTAATAAAATGTGGTATATGTATACCATGAAGTACTATTCAGCTCTAAGACACAACGGTGATATAGCACATCTTATATTTTCCTGGTTAGAGCTGGAACCCATACTACTAAGTGAAGTATCCCAAGAATGGAAAAACAAGCATCACATATATTCACCAGCAAACTGGTATTAACTGAGCAGCACCTAAGTGGACACATAGGTACTACAGTAATAGGGTATTGGGGAGGGGGTAGGGGAGAGGGGGCGGGTATATACATACATAATGAGTGACATGTGCACCATCTGAGGGAAAGCCATGCTGGAAACTCAGACTTGGGGGGGGGGAAGGGCATTTATTGAAACCTTAAAATCTGTACCCCCATAATATGCCAAAAGAAAAAAAAGAAAAAAAAAAGGAACAAAGCCATTTCCTACCTGGTATAGGTAGCAAAGCTAATCCCACCCAAGAAGCTCCCAGCCTGCTCTGCAATGACGGAACGATGCTCCTGGAAGTCAAGGGGCTGGATGAAGCATTAACAATGCCTACATAGCTGCTTTAAGGCTCAAGAGAAAACTGCTGAAATGATGATATTCACCCTGGCTCAGGGCATAGCTACTGTGCCTTTCACCCCTTGGCTCCAGACCAACAGCTACCCACTTTATTTCAGTCTATCACAGGGGTCCTCAAACATTTTAAACAGGGGGCCAGTTCACTGTCCCTCAGACTGTTGGAGGGCTGTTGGAGAGTGCGGCGCACATTCCACACATGCACACTGTGGGCCCGGGACAAGTCGGCTGCTAAGCAGGGCAGGCAGCGGCGGCAAAAACAACCGGTAGGCTGGATAAATGTCCTCAGCGGGCCGCAGTTTGAGGACTCCTGGTCTATCTCTTTAGCAATGACGGTAGTGGTGATGGTGGCAAGTTGGGACTAACTTTCTTCCTTTCACTACTACCAATCTTCAAATGCCGCTTAATATCAAAGCAGAGGATCCAAGAAGCTTTGAATACACAAGTTCTTAGACCCCTAATGGTCCCTGCATCCACAGAGGATGCCCATTCTCCTCCCATAGAAAAGATTGTATGGCATCAAAATCTCATTTTGAAGACTTGTACCTCCTTACAATACTCTTCTCCCTCAAATTCCTTCATCTTATACTTCTGTTGCTCCATCTTAAGCCACGGACTTTCATGTTCAGCTTGCAACCTGGCCAATCTTTCCTCAGAATAAGATGCAACAACCTAGGCCTAGGGTTGCCATTCTGAATCTCATAGGTGTGACAACAGAAGTAGTAGTAGAATCTGAAGACTGGACTCACAACCCCACAATTCAATAAACTTTTATTAAACCTAAACTCTATCTGTTGTTTTCTGGGCATACAATTGGACACAGTTCCTGATCCACAGAAGCCTGGAAACTGGTGATGGAGGCAGATATACACACAACTATTCATAAGACAGTATAATCATGCCGCAATGGAGGGACACACGAGGTGCTATGAGATGTGAGAGGAAGGAGGAATTAACCATCTGGGATAATCAGATCAGGCCTCCTAAATGGGCAAATCCAGGTGGAAGGGTGTGGGAGATGAGCAGGAATTCTGGGTAAAGGGCAGGATACGTAAAGAGGTAACAGACAAGTACAGCAAGACCAGGAGGCTTGGTGGGAGGAAAGAGGAACCGAACACAATTCCCAAGTCTTTGGCTCAGATGCCTGGGTAACATTAGGCGAGGCAGACAACACAGGAGGGAAAGTGAGTTTGTTACGACATCTTATACAAGTCATGTGTTAGGCAAAGTTGGGGACAGAAAAAGAATTAGTTGTCAAGTTCCATTTAGTCTTCTTGTGTAATATATCAATGTACAACCTCCTTCTCCAGGCTGGCTGATTTACTGCATGTCCCCTGCACCTCACATGGACTACTGGAACAGCTACAAAGCCACGCTTCCTGACGTCAAGCCTTCATCTTCCTCCGCCCCCCACAATGCTATTATCAAATTTAATAATATTTCTTTGTTATCTAATTAGAAGCCTGCCCCTTTCCTAATGACTGCCCCCCTCACCCACTTCCTCTCCAAGTCCAGGCCTCACAGTTAAAGTCCTAGAATGTAGACTGCATCAAGATGGGGTGTGTGGACATTTGATTCAGACAGACATGAGTCTGAATCCTGGCTCTGTCGTTTACTTCATGTGTGTGATCTTGTACAAATAATTTAGCCTCTCAGATCTCAAAGGCTCATTTCTATCGTCTTTAAAATGGGAAAACAGTGTCTAACCAAAGTATAGTTGTGAGCATTTGATGAGTCCCTATATGTAAAGCACTTCAATATCGAGCACAGGCTAACTGTTCAACTATTTATGTTAAAGATTCACTAATGAATATCTGTGGAATTTCACTTTCACTAATTATACCAACTACCCTCTGCATACCTCTCCAGCCTTGTCTGGCACCACTTCCACTTCCTCTCTGAGCTCTAGTCATGTAGCTATCCTTTCATTTCTCCCAACATGCCTTTTCCCCCCTTCACTGTGTATTTATTTAAATAAAAAAAGTGAGATGATTTTCATAAAAATATTAAGTACAATACAGGTTGGAAAAGGCATAAATTGGGAAATGGAAAGATAATGGCTGCAGCTGAGGAATTACTATCAAATAGAGTAAAAAAATTATAATTGTGGACATTGTGGATTAAATAAAAACACAGTGGAAAGAATTAAACTAAAATTTTGTTCATTTGGCAAGAATGAACAAGAAAAAAATAGAAAATGCACAAACACTACAAAGAATGAAGAGAGGATAGCAATTAAAAAGAAAAGAGGCAGAGCATGAAAGCTCATACCATAATCACAGCACTCTGGCAGGCTAAGGTAGGAGGATTGCTTGAGGCCAGGAGTTTAGGACCAGCCTGAGCAACATAGTAAGACCCCATCTCTACAAAAAAATAAACAAAAAAATTAGCCAGGCATGATGGTTGGCATGTGCCCTGTAGTCCTAGCTACTTGGGAGGCTAAGGAAGGAGGATCACTTGAGCCCAGGAGTTTGAGGCTACAGTGAGCTACTGCTGTGCCACTACACCCCAGCCTCGGTGACAGAGTAAGCTCCTATTTCAAAAAAAAAAAGAAAAGAAGAAGAAAAAAAAAAGAGAGAATGTAAGGAATATAATACCAAAAATACTGAACTTATAGCAAATGGACAATTATATAGAAAAATATAAACCAACAAAACTGACTTATGGCCAGGAGCAGTGACTCGCACCTGTAATACTAGCACTCTGGGAGGCCAAAGCTGGAGGAAAGCTTGAGCTCAGGAGTTTGAGACCAGCCTGAGCAAGAGTGAGACTCCATCTCTAAAAAAAACTGACTTGGGAGGAAATATGTATAATTAGAATAATTCTACTACCATTAAATAAATCTATTCAGTAATTTAAAATCTTCACACAAAGATAATATGAAATCCAATGGTTTTATGGAAAGTTCTAGCAAACATTCAAGGACCCCAAAATTATAACCATACACAAACTATCCCAGCATGCAGAAAAAGGGCAAAAATTCCCCATCCTTCTGTGGGGCTAAAATATTCTACTTACGTTTTGCAAATCGACAGAAAGCTGCTGAATGAGTGCTTGTAGCTCTTGTTCCTTTTGTTCCAGGGCTGTGATCTTATTTTCTGCACCTGTCTTTGTAGCTATCACATGATCTCTTCATCAAAAGAAAAGCAGACAATGAACACATTTGGATATCTAAGACACTCTTTGGAAGAAAGAATACAAATGATTCCTTCTATGTCAGGGCTGTCAGCATTACCAGGCATATGAAGGTTATCAATGGAAACAGACTCCTTGGCTCTCTCTGAAGCAGAAGCCCAAAAAGAAAAAGTCCACCCCAAAAGTCCTGATTTGCCTTTGCTTACTTAATAGCTTACGAAGTAAAACCATATGAAATTGCTCAGCAAGGTTGAAACTATTCTGAGCCTAGGCAGGTAAAGAGAGAAAGGATTGGGAGTAGGGAGGGCCCTGAGTCCTCAGCAGGTAAGGACATGTCCAGAAGCTTTTGCTTGTGCCAGAATCAGAAAGTGTTGCAAAGAACAATGGGGAAAGGTGGGTGGGCCACAGTCAGAGCTACGCTAACACCTCTTCCCAGGGGCCCCACAGACCAAGCAAGAACCTCTGCTCTTCCAGCGTTGAGTAGTGTCTCTGTAATTCTTCTAGCTTCTGGCTTAAGTCTGATGACATCTGATTGGAGGTTATTAACTCCTCCTGGATGTGACTAAGTTCTCTGGTTCGTGCCTCCAATTCTTGCTCCATTTTCCCCAGACTTTCTTCTTTTTTTAAAAGCTGATACAAAGATACAAAGTTTTACTGAGCTACTGCTAAAATATACGCTTTAAAAAAAATCTAGCTGGGGCCGGGCGCTGTGGCTCACGCCTGTAATCCTAGCTCTTGGGAGGCCGAGGCGGGCGGATTGCTCAAGGTCAGGAGTTCAAAACCAGCCTGAGCAAGAGCGAGACCCCGTCTCTACTATAAATAGAAAGAAATCAATTGGCCAACTGATATATATATAAAAAATTAGCCGGGCATGGTGGCACATGCCTGTAGTCCCAGCTACTCGGGAGGCTGAGGCAGAAGGATCACTCGAGCCCAGGAGTTTGAGGTTGCTGTGAGCTAGGCTGACGCCACGGCACTCACTCTAGCCTGGACAACAAAGCGAGACTCTGTCTCAAAAAAAAAAAAAAAAAAAAATCTAGCTGGGTGCAGTGGCACATGTCTGTAATCCCAGCTACTTGGGAAGCTGGGGCAGAAGAATTGCTTGAGCCCAGGAGTATGAGGCTGCAGTGAGCTATGATCATGCCTGTGAACAGCTACCGTACCCCAGTCTGGAAATCCATTTTAAACAGAACTTTCCCATTTTAATAAATTTTAAAACATACAAATATGATTACTATCAAATACTACTAGGGTATGTTTATCAGTAAAAAGAGAGTGATGGCCAGCAAAACAGAATAAATAATCATCTATTCAGTATTTAGCTATTAAGCCAAAAGTGCATACCATGTGCTTTACTTTACTTAGTTCCTGCTGCTGGAACCCCTCTAATTCATCCATTTCATCTCTCCTTTGGAAAAGATTCAAACTCTGGTTCTTCATTTCCTGTAATTGAGCTGTCAGAAATCTTTTCTCCTGTTGGGGAGAAGATGACTCAGGCTACTAAAACTTTACGAATCTATATTACAAAAGAGCAATTCTTAATAAAGGAAAATCTTCAGGAAATCTTATGCCAACAGACAATAATAATACATTGATAATGGGAAGCATTATAGTAAAGTGACCAATATGGTATTATTTATAAATAGAGTTACAAATAAATGTGCTTTAAATAATTGTGAATAAGGGGAATAAGAGCAACAATCATGTAAAACTTTAAAGTTCTTACGTCTACTTCACAAGTCCCGATATATATTTTACATGTCTATTCTTAGTGACATATTGAACTAGATGAGAAACATACATGACTGGAGTAAGACTGAATGTCCTAAAAAAAATTAAGTGCATGTAGATTAAATGTAGAACCGATTTTAGTAGTTAAAAAAAAAAAAAATCATGTATCACTGGTGTCAGCAGGTAACAGGTTACTGAATGACGGCTTCTAGCAATGGACTCTCTTAAGGACTAACCCTACTGTTGTAGCTGCTAATTCTAAACTTAAAAGAAAATAACATCCCTAAAAAATCAGAGTGGCTTCAAAGATCTACATAGATGTCTCATTATTCTTTCCTGGTCTGAAAAATTTCCCCAACTCCTCCTTTGAAAGAATGAAACAAAGAGAAAATTACCTTAGTAAACCAATGTAGGTCTGATTTGGTTCAGTCCTATACGGACACCCTTCACCATAATTTTAAGAGATAAAAAAGCAGTTCAATGAGAATTTCAACTGCCATCATCTTAAAAATTTCCCTTATGACAAGCAACCCTTAACCTAACCCATACCTCCATCATTAATAGTATTTGTTTGGGGATTTTTTTTCAAGCACAAGTTTCTTTGGGACTTAACTTTTCTATAGTTCTTTCCTTAATAAAAATGTTAATGTATTCTGTTAGCTTGATAACCAGATTTCTACAAAACATAAAGAAAATAGCTGGTTTAACTTGGGTGTTCTATGGAAAGAATGGAGCAACACTAAAAGTCATCTGTTTAATAAAAAGAGTAATTTAGAAGTACTGAATAAAAAAAGGAATGATTTAGCTAACAGTGTATTATTCAAGCTAAGAGAGTTGACTATTGATTATTTTAAAATTAAAACGTTTTTCCAATTGTGGGCTTGAAATTTCATCTTCTTTATATGTGGCCCAGGAATACACTACTTAAGGCACCTACACAGTGTTATGCAAGCTATGGTACGATAATAATCAATTTCCCTCATCTGTGTCTAGCTAAGAGGTTCTTTTACACACTCAATGCTGGGCCTTGAGAAATGCCCTCCTTCCCCATGGCGTCATCATGAAGTATTCCTATTGTTACCGCAGTGCTAGTCAGAGCCCCAGCAGCAAACAGATGGCAGACTCAAATTAGGTATTTTGAGGATGGTTTTTAATAAGGGGGCTTATCAAAGCTATAGGAGGGGTAAGATAGCCCAAAAGATAATGTGCTAATAACAGATGGGCATAAATGGGCAAAAGGATGAAGAGGTTGGAGGGAGAAGGGAATGGGAATGTACTAATAACAGTTGGGTATAAATGGGCAAAAGGATGAAGAGGTTGGAGGGAGAAGGGAATGGGAAAAGAAAAAAAAAAAAGATGAAGAGGTTACAAGAAATCCAGAGAGAGAAAAACTGTCAAGAGAGGGAGAATCAAAGGTCCAACTGAAGCTGTGACATTTGGCCATGGGATGCAACTAACCCAAAAGGACCCCACATGGAGAAAGCTGGAGGAACAAACATGCTGATCACACTCTTCTTCCACACATGGTTCTTCCAGTGTTCTCCACTGGCTGAACCCAAACAGAAGCCAGGGCATCTGAGCCCTTCTGATGATACAGTCCCTATTTGCCTTCAGGTACACAGAGAGTGGACAAAGTATCAAGAGGTACAAACAAAAGATACCCAGCACACTACAAGAAAGGGTAAGATGTGAGTGCTTTCCAAAAGAGTGTCTAATCATACAGTGCCCTACTTCCAAGAGGTAGTACAGCAATATATCGGTTTCTGGAAAACATTCTAGAAATGTTTTCATTTTCTAAGCCACAGAGACAAGACTAACATGAATAATAAGACAAAAACAAAGATGAACTAACCTTTTCAAGCTGATCCATCTTTTCTGACCATTCCTAAAACAAAACAATAAACAAGTATAGTTTCTAGGGAAGAGTAATTGTAATACCAAGATTTTCAGAAAACAATCCAACTCTCCCAAAAGAACTAATGAAACAATGGCTGGGCGCAGTGGCTCACACCTGTAATCCTAGCACTCTTGGAGGCTGAGGCGGGCGGGTTGCTAGAGGTCAGGAGTTCGAAACCAGCCTGAGCAAGAGCGAGACCCCGTCTCTACTATAAATAGAAAGAAATTAATTGGCATAATAGTATATAGGAAAAATTAGCCAGGCATGGTGGTGCATGCCTGTAGTCCAGCTACTTGGGAGCTGGAGCAGCAGGATTGCTTGAGCCCAGGAGTTTGAGATTGCTGTGAGCTAGGCTGACACCACGGCACTCACTCTAGCCTGGGCAACAAAGCGAGACTCTGTCTCAAAAATAAAAAAAGTACTAATGAAACAAAACAAAAAAGCAAATTAAAAAAAAAAAAAAAACATTCAGTTGGCTTAACATTAAGAAAGGCAAAAAAAAATAAAAATAAAATAAAATAAAAAAAAAAAAGAAAGGCAAGAGTCCTAAAAGGAGAAGAAAATGAACTTTATATAAAATTCTAGAATATAAATATAAACCTGAAAATTTTTACTAAGGACACCCAAACAAAGCTGTATTTGCTGTTTGCTATTCTTTCTGAAACAGGGTATCTTGCTCTGTTGCCTGGGCTAGAGTGTAGTGGTGTCTTCAAAGCTCACTGCAACCTCCAATTCCTAAGCTCAAGAGATCCTCCTGCCTCAGCCTCCCAACTAGCTGGGACTACAGCCTCACACCACCATGCCTGGCTAATTTTTCTATTTTTTGTAAAGACAGGGTCTTGCTCTTGCTAGGCTGGTCTCGAACTCCTGGCCTCAAGCAATCCTCCCAAGTCCACCTCCCAAAGTGCTAGGATGACAGGCATGAGCCACTGTGCCTGGGCTATATTTGCTGTTCTTATGCAGCTTTTCAGCTTATTCCTGGAAATTTTCTCATGTGTACTGTTGTTATTTTTTTGGATTGGGTAACTGGGATCAGCTGAGTTGGTAACTGCAACTAATGTTTAGAAATTAACTTACTAAAAATTGGGGGGGGTTCAGTGATTCCTGATAATTATTTTCCTTCTCATCTTGATTTTAACAACATGCTTTATGGCATTTGGCACAGTCAAAAGGGAAAGGAATTATGCCCCTATTCACAAACTATAAAATACTGAGAAAAACAAGCAAAAAAAAAAAAAAACAAAAACAAAAAATGAAAACAAAACCATTGGTACAAAAGGCCTTAATTCGAATCCATCAATTTTAGATAATTTCTTCAATTATATACATTCATATCATAGTTATCTACTAAGTATTGGTGAATGATGTTTTTTTCTGGTCAGGAAATGTCCTAGATGATGAATAGACACAAACCAACCAACCACTCCACCTAGTTGTATATAAAATAAATTATATATTTCTTAAATGAAACATAATAAATTGACCTTATCTTAATAAGTCAGGATTATCAATTATACTATATGCTTATCTTAAATTTAAAATGTCATTGATTATCTTGAACAAAATATATTAAATACTTCTAGTTATTATAATAGCCAATGATAGTATTATTATATTTTCCTTTCTTGGAGTCATTCACTCAGCATCTTCCAGTGGATGGTTCTATTGAGAGTACAGGAGTTCCCCTCGTCCAGATGGTAGGGTCGAAGAAATGTGGAACAGAGGCTGGAAGAACTATGTACATTATGGATCATGACTAGCTTGGTAGTATCTTCTCCACTAAAAAAGGCAAGTGTTTGGAGTTGGGCTTTGAGACAGGGTTTTAGAGAGCAGTGGCCTTTTTCCTCATTTTGGGTCTTGCCATTAGGTTACAGACACTATTTCCCATCTCAATTTTGCAAAGCTTCATAGATGCAGGGAATAATACTCTCATATGCTGGACACATTTTGCAATTAAAATTGTAAAGTTTCCTGACTTCTAAGAAAAAGCTAAATAAAATCTTAAAAAACTCATAACATTCCTTTTCTCCTAGGTTGTAAATATTTTTCACAGGTTTATGTCATGATTATTGAAATCACATCACTAAGTTTTAATGACATGATCTTTCTACCAGTTTTAGGCAGTGCTGCATATAAAATACCTGGTCTTTTCTGGCTAATGCCAAAGCCAGTCCTTCTGCCATTTTGGCTCTGTTGGCTTGGAATGTCTCATTCTGCTCTTGAAATTTCCGCATGGAAGCTGTTAACAAAGAGGCTCTATTTCAGATATGAAAATACTTTAGCATGACAAATAAACCATGTGATTACTTTACAACTGTCACCTAATGAAAAAGATCAAGGTCACACAAGTGGATTATGAGACTAGGAAAAGCTTGATCTACCTCGACTTCTCAGAATAATCTTTTGGCCTTAGTAATAGACCACAGTTTTGTTTGTTTCCTCGTTGTTTTGTGTTTTTGTAGTAGTTATGTATACACATTTAGGAAGATGTCAAAAGGTAAATTTTAAAATGGTACAATGACAGAACATTGAGTTAGGTAGTTTGCCAGAAAACACCAGTACTATTGCTAAGAGATGGCTACTACCACTTTATCAGAACTATAAAAACAAAAATCAAAACAGAAAACTTCTTTATTTTCTTTTAAAAAGCTTTAAGTATATATCAACAACAACAAAAAATAACTTTCTACTTCTGTTAGCATCTTTCTTGGATGATACTCAAAGGAGAACATATGATTTAGGGTAGACTAAACAAAACGTACGCTCCATTATTGTAGGGAATGATGGCAGAGATTTCTCCCAGTTTCCTGACACAACAGTAATGAAGCTATACCTAGAACCCATCTCCTAATTAGATCCAAGGGGTAGGTACTAGATTTTAGTAAAACCTAACGGCAGCCAATAAATGGGTCAACTGGATAGAGACAAACTGATCCACATAATGACTTCCTCCTAGGAAGCATGCCCATAAGGCAACATAAATACCAAGCTGTATACTTATAAATATCAGACCAATGTTATCAAACTGACTAAGAAGTATACTATTTATAAAAAGAAGATTTGAACACTCATGAAGGACAAACTTAACCATATACTTCTGTTTCATTTCAAAAAACTAAATCCTAAAAAGATTTTAAAAAGCAGGAAAAAAATACGTACAATCCTGGTGTTTTTCTAATGCAATTTCAAGCTTCTCTTTTATCTTCTGCAAGTTTCGGACCTGTTCAGCATAGTCTTGGGTGAGGAGGGTGACGCACATACCAAGAATGGACAAACATCAGGAAAGGAAGTTAATTAAACAAAAAAATGAGTGAAAATGATGATGATTTTCTTAACCCGAAAACCATTCCTGTTAAGGAAAGCTAGGCAGACAGCCTCCCACTTACAATGAACAACACAGGCAAACAGGTATAGTACAAACTATCCATGGTATAAATGGGGAATGCAAACAGGCAGATTTGTTTAGCCTTGATAGAAAATAAGAATTAGGCTTGGCATCATCATCAGAAATGCCCTACTATGAAAAACACAGTATTATCTCATGACTTAATTTCAAATCTCAGTTTTCACTTCCCTTTGCAGCCTTAGCAGTAGGACAAATCATAGGGAACTCACTAAACAGCCTGCTTATACAACTGAGTACCAATGGTTAGGGCAAGAGCAAACACCTTAGCACAGTATTGTCTTTATGGTGAAAGTACTTAATTCTCTCAAAAAGTGAGCTCCCTTTTCACACAGGAACTGAGTTACCTATGCCATATTAAAGTTACAAGTCATGCCTGCCGTCAGGATGGCTGAGCGGTCTAAAGGGGAAAGTCAGAATTAATTACCTGTGTGGCAGAGGAAGATAGTATATTACAGAGGAAGATAGTATAGGAAGATTCTATATTACTATAGAAAAAATAGATAGTAGTTCAAATCTTAACTCCTGGTGACCTTAAGCAAATAACTGATCCTAAGTATTAGTTTCTTCATATATTAAATAATGTTAATTGTATCTATCTCAAAGGATGCATTACATAATGTGGTGTTTTACATGTCTTAAGCACCTCATGGTGTTCAATAAAAGGTGGCTGGTATTATTATCGTTACTATACATACTAAGCCTGTAGGGCAATACCCAAGACACAAGTGGGCCCAATAAATGTGAATTTTCTTCCCTGTCCTTCCTTGACATAAGTCAAGCCCAATTTCTCTTCCTTTCATATTAGGGATGGTACATATTATTTTATAACTATCTCCCAAATGTTAAACAAATGTAAGGTTATTTCACCTCTCTGATATTATTTATGGGTGAGACTAAAAGGATAGTAACAACTGGGGGTTTTAAGCAGACTGTAATTAAGAGAACGGACTCGAGCATCAAGTAAATCTGGATTTGAATCTCAGCTCTACCACTAACTACCCGTGTGACCTTAACCTTGCTAAATCTAATAAGCCTACAGTGAGAATAACATAATTAACTGGTACTTGTGAGCTATGCTATGAAACTTTGATAGCTATACAAATATTTCATAACAATTAGGTGAATTTTAGTCTGCTGCTCTCACTCCATTAAAATGGGCCAAGGGACAAAAAGAGACATAGAAGGTATGGACCACTTCACAGGATAAAGTTTTCAAAATGTATCCACTGCCAGAAACCAAAATAAGAACTCACAAATCTATCATGAACATGCCCTGCTCAGGCAAAGGATTTAATGGTCACTGTGCAAATTGTAAACTGCACACAAAAGATGTAATGAGGCCGGGCGCTGTGGCTCACGCCTGTAATCCTAGCTCTTGGGAGGCCGAGGCGGGCGGATTGCTCAAGGTCAGGAGTTCAAAACCAGCCTGAGCAAGAGCGAGACCCCGTCTCTACTATAAACAGAAAGAAATTAATTGGCCAACTGATATATATATATAAAAAATTAGCCGGGCATAGTGGCGCATGCCTGTAGTCCCAGCTACTCGGGAGGCTGAGACAGCAGGATTGCCTGAGCCCAGGAGTTTGAGGTTGCTGTGAGCTAGGCTGACGCCACGGCACTCACTCTAGCCTGGACAACAAAGTGAGACTCTGTCTCAAAAAAAAAAAAAAAAAAAAAAAGATGTAATGAGAGTTACACCTTCTATACAGGTTTTGAACTTAGAAATTCCACTGAAAAGTGGCCCAAAGACCTAGAACAATACTTACACAGGTGATATGAGCTCTAGTAAGCAGCAACACAGCACCAAAACCTCTCTGGTGCTGATGAATCCAACATCTATTGGCCATTCCCTATAAATACCTGAAGGTAAGTATGCTAATAATGGTGGAAGATGGTCAAATCTATTCTACAAATACTTTTAATATCTTTTATATCCATGGCTAGAAACCTCAGGAGAAGAAAAACAAAGATTTTTCAAATGCATTATTGAATTTATACCATTCAGTATACTAAAAAAAGAAGGGAACAAAGGGGGTACACATTGCTTCTGACTAAGGAGATCAAAATGACATGTCAAAACAACTACAAAGTTATCCTATATGGCTATCCTATATTATAGGGAGAGAGGGTCAGGCAAGGCACATTTCCTGTTATTTACTTATTATGAGTTCTTAGACATACCAGAAAGTCTGGCCTCTAACTTCCGTATCTGTTCATTCCTTCTTAAAAGCTGGGATGAAAGATCTTCTCTGGAGCTGCTTCCATCCGAAGCCTGTTGAGATAGACACAAGGAGAGGTCGCATTCACGTGGGTTTTCAGCAGTCTGAGACCACAATACCAAGCCAGAAAGTGACAATTCTTATTTTAGGTTTGGTTACACTTTAATTGTGATCATTGAATAGCTTAACATAACTGGGCCCTAGCTTTTCTACCTAGTAAGTAGGGGTGACACTGTATCCTTCTCATAATGTGAAGGAAAGATAAGATGCTAAACAGATTAATCATGTGTATGTGTATGCATGCTACTGAAATAAATGGGAGTAAATAAATCCATCATGATTGTATTATATCAAGTATTATATATAATATTATATATATTTGCAATGATAAAAAATCACTTTATCGGCCGGGCGCGGTGGCTCACGCCTGTAATCCTAGCACTTTGGGAGGCCGAGGTGGGCGGATTGCTCAAGGTCAGGAGTTCGAAACCAGCCTGAATGAGACCTCGTCTCTACCAAAAATAGAAATAAATTAATTGACCAACTAAAAATATATATACAAAAAATTAGCCGGGCATGGTGGCGCATGCCTGTAGTCCCAGCTACTCGGGAGGCTGAGGCAGTAGGATCGCTGAGCCCCGGAGATTGAGGTTGCTGTGAGCCAGGCTAATGCCACGGCACTCACTCTAGCCTGGGCAACAAAGTGAGACTTTGTCTCAAAAAAAAAAAAAAAAAAAAAAAATCACTTTATCTTTCCAAAGGTAAAGTTTTGGGATAAAGGGGAGAGGGTTCTTAAATAAGGGATCAAAGGCTGGTCTATGACTAAGAATCTTTCACTGGGGCTGGGCACGGTGGCTTATGCCTGTAATCCCAGCACTCTGGGAGGCTGAGGCAGGATTGCTTGAGGCCAGGAATATGAGGCTGCTGCACTCCAGCCTGAGTAACAGAGCAAGACTCTGTTTCTACGAAAAAAAACTTTTTAAATCAGCTCAGCATGGTGGCACATGCCTGTAGTTCCAGCTACTTGGGAAGCTAAGGTGGGTAGATTGCTTGAGCCCAGGTCAAGGCTGCAGTGAGCTATTATCAGGCCACTGCACTCCAGCCTGAGCAACAGAGCAAGGAAAGACCTTGTCTCTTGTTTAAAAACAAACAAACAAAAAAGCTTTCACTGATACTGATAAAGTTTCAGTATCCTCATCTATAATACCAAAGTATATCAATCTAAAGCTCTAAATTGCATCATAAGCTTTAGCTGACAATATGCATTCAATAAATCAATATATAAATAAGAAATATATTTTCCCCAATAATCCAGATTATTATTTTGGGCACTGCTTGCTATTGCTAATAAATGACTCACTTTAAAAAATTTTTAATATTTTATTATAAAATTTTTCAAAATATAGAAAAGTAGAGAGATTGGTTTAATGAACATTCTCATCTACTTTAACAATTGTTGATGCTTTCCCATATTTGTTTCATGAATTTTTATTTTGCTGAAGTAATTTAAATAGCAGACAATAGGGCATTTCATCCTCAATTATTTGATAAATATTTCTAAAAAATAAAGCCATTGTTCTTCATAGCCATAATATCATATCTAACAAAATTTTAAATGCTAATATCCAATCTTTAATCATGTTTCCCCACTTTATCCCCAAGATGTTTTTAAAGACAGTTGAACAATTCATAATTATTTACCTGTCCAGCCACTTGCCTAACCCATATTTACTGAGAGGACAGTGGATAGTTAAGAGCAGAGTTTCTGTACTCAGAAGTACAAGTTCCAGTTCCAGCTTCACCACTTACAAGCTGTAAGAACTTGGGCCAATTACTCAACCTCTCCATGCACTGGCTTCCTCATTTGCAAACTGTGATAACAAATATAATCTACCTCACAGAGCTGTGATGAGGATTAAATAAATCAATATTTGTCAAATCCCTAATACAGAGCCTGGCAGACAATTAGCTTTAATATTACATGTGTTATCTATGACTAGTTGTCTTAGTCTGTTCAGGCTGCTGTAACAAAATGCCATAAAGTTGGTGGCTTACAAACAACAGAAATTTATTTCTCATAGCCTGGAGTCTGGGAAGCCCAAGATCAAGGCACAAGCAGATTCAGTGTATAGCGAGGGCCCACTTTCTGGTTTGTCCATGGCACCTTCTAGCTGTGTCCTCACATGGTAAAAGGGGCAAGGCAGCTCTCTTGGGCTTCTCCCATTCATGAGAGTTCCTCCCTCCCTCATGACCTAATCATCTCCCAGAGGTTTCACCTACTAATGGCTTCACACTGGTGATTAACTTTCAACATATGAATTCTTGGGGGGGACACAAACATTGAGATCATAGCACTAGTAGCACAAGAAGTTGTTATGATTATTATTGTTAGTAAGACATCCTAGGTCTCAGCATTGTGCTAAGAACTAGGAATAGTAGTAAAACAAAGAGATCCTACATAATACAGCAGCAGTTATTACTAATTATGAAATGCTCACTAAGAGTCAGGCACTATGCTATGTGCTTTATACACTATGCAGAAGAGAGTTAACATTGTAGGCCTGAGACTACCATCCTTAGAAAGGTCTGCTTGTAAGGCTGGTCCTTGGCAGGCATCTAGGAACAAAGAATGGTTGATTGTGCCTAAACTGTTGGTGTGGAAAATATGGTTTATGCAGAACAACTGCTTTCCTTCTGGAGTCTGAAATTTGGGTATATAATGGGAAGAGGTACCAACAAAACCCTGGACACCAAGTCTTCAATGAGCTTCCCTGGTAGACATTTTACACATATTGTCACAACTCACTGCTGGGGAAATTAAGTGTATCCTACCTAAATCCACTGAGAGAGGACTCTTAGAAGCTTGGATCTGGTTTCCTCCCAACTTTGCCACATGCACTTTTTCTCTTTGCTGATTATGTTAGGCATCTTTTCACCTAATAAATAATAGCGGTGAGGAAAACTAGATGCTGAATCTTATGAGTCCTCCTAGTGAACAATTAAACCTGGGGGTGATCTTAGGAACCCCTAATACATATACTTTCATGAAGCCCCCAGTTTAGTGGAAGAAGAGACAAACATGGAAATCATCTGTAATAATGCAGTACAACAGGTGCTATTACAAAGGTGAGCGGAAGACACGGCACCGAACAGCCAGGAGGGGTAAAGTAGTAGGGTGCTATATGTAAGGGTCAGGTTGGATCAACGGGGCTTCCTGGAAATAACATGTGAGCTGAGTCTTAAAGGATCCACAAGAGTCTGTGAGAGGAATGCAGGAGTGAAAAGGGGAGACAGAAGACATTTTAGAAAGCCTAGAGAGAAGAAACAGCATAAAACATTTGTAGGTATGAAAGAATGTGGTCGGTTCTACAAAGTGCAATAAATTCAATCTGGCTATAGCACAGCATATAGGAAAGTAGAATGAGATCAAGGTGGGCAGGTAAGCTGTGACAAGACTGTGACAGTTTACCATCACACTATAATAATGGATTTGCACTTCATCCTAAAGGTGATGGGGAAACCATCAACTTTTAAGCATTGGAGAGACATAAACAGATCTGCTTTTACAAAGATAATTTTGGGGAGCTATGGAGGCAGGGAGCCTAAATAGGCTACTGTGTTTGTCCAAGAAAGAAAGGCAGACTGAAATAAAATGGAAGTACAGGATGAGTACCCCTTATCCAAAATGCTCAGTAGCAGACGTGTTTCAGATTTCAGATTTTTTTTTTTATTTTGGAATATTTGTGTATATATAATGAGATATCTTGGGGATGGGACCCAAATTTAAACAGATAATTCATTTATGTTTCATATACACCTTATGCATGAGTCATAAAGGTAATTTTATACAATATTTTTAATAATTTTGTGCATGAAACAAAATTGGTGTTAAGTACTTGTGTGTGGAATTTTCCACTTGTGTTATGTTGGTGCTCAAAAGTTTTGGATATTGGAGCCTTTCAAATTTCAAATTTTCAGATTAGGGACACTCAACCTTTTATCACTAGAAGATGAAGTAGAGAGGCAAATTTGAGAGACCAGAGACATTTCTAAAATGGAAGCCACAGTACATGCTGACTGATTGGACACCAAGAAGCAACAGGAGAGAAGAGCCTAAAATGCTTCCAGGGTTGCTAGCTGATGACCTGGTAGAATAAAGATGCACATCTGGAGACATAGTGAATTCCATTTTGTTCATTTAGAATTTGAGGTACTGCACAGGGAAGGAATCTATTTGGAGAAATAAATGCAGTTGGATATAGGGTATGGAGATATGGAGTGAGGATCACACTATAGTAAGTCCAAATAGATTACTTGAGAAGTCTCAAAGTATTTCCTGAATTCAGGTCAATCTTTCTATCTGCAATACATTTTAGATGAAAGACTTCATTCAGCATGTCAGCATGAAGGAAAAGCAGGATCTTCTGTTGCAGAACTCAGTATTAACACTATATCCTCCAGCCTGGTGCTCAAATGTGCACTTATATTTCCTGTTAAATATAGGAACCAATGATAATCTATATCTGGTAATCTTAATTGCTCTACCCAAATAACCTAATAGCTTCTGCCATGTAATCTGACCTAGATTCAGGGAGTATAAGAAAGGAGGAGGAAGACTCATCTGACCATGGAAACAACTCAAATGTCTATCACCAGGAGACAACAGAGATAAATTGTGACCTTTACAAATGCTGGAAACTTTACAGCAGCAAAAACAAATGAACCACAGCTTCATGTAACACGGATGCATTTTAGAACCATGTTAAATTTAGAAAAAAAAGTAAATCCAAGAAGGCTATGATATGTCTTTTTTTTTTTTGAGCCAGAGTCTCGCTTTGTTGCCCAGGCTAGAGTGAGTGCCATGGCATCAGCCTAGCTCACAGCAACCTCAATCTCCTAGGCTCAAGCAATCCTGCTGTCTCAGCCTCCCAAGTAACTGGGATTACAGGCATACGCCACCATGCCCGGCTAATTTTTTCTATATATATTAGTTGGCCAATTAATTTCTTTCTATTTATAGTAGAGACGGGGTCTCGCTCTTGCTCAGGCTGGTTTCGAACTCCTGACCTCAAGCGATCTGCCCGCCTCAGCCTCCCAGAGAGCTAGGATTACAGGCGTGAGCCACCACGCCGGCTGATATGTCATTTTTATAAGTTCAAAACTAAGTTGTATTAAACAATAAATTATTTGTGAACACATACATATTTGGTAAGATATTTTAAAAAGCAAGGAAATGATAACCATAAAGTTTAGGATAGTGGTTATCTGGAGGGGAAAGAGGGAATTGGGGAGGAGTACTTAAACGGCTTCAACAGTGTTGATAACTCTTCAGATAGGTGATATATTCACTTTATGCTTTATACTCTATACACATTATACTTTACATACATTCTTATATATAGTATTATAAATCCTTTTGTAATAACTTTATCTAACTTAAGAGAATTCTGTCATATGCCAAAGACACACTTTAATCATTAAGCATGACATTTCCCTAACACAGCAACGTCCTCATTTTTTAAAATCTTACCAACTGCAAAGGTACTTTACAAATAATGGACATACTGTAGTCATCAGTGTCATCTTTTCATCAACTTTCTCAATAAAACAATGCACTCTGGCTAACCCTGCACTACAACTCCCAGATCTTGATAAGCAACAATGACTTAAAGTATGTATGTCTGCAGAGAAAACAGGCCCATTTTGAGAGATGAAATGTAAAAGGTGCACAAGGCATATAGATAGAAAACAGTACAAGAGGATAATGTAGAGAATATTGAAAGGCACTCAAAGAAAAATAAGGAAAAAATAAAGTACCTTAAGATTAACAAACCAAACATTAACAAAAGGTACCTCGGAGTAAGAAGAATAAGCCGTGCAGGGTCTTACACAGGAAATAAATTACAAAAGGTATAAAACAATCATACAATTTTTTTTTTTTTTGAGACAGAGTCTTGCTCTGTTGCCCAGGCTAGAGTGCCATGGCATCAACCTAGCTAATTTTTTTTTTTTTTTTTTTAGAAGAGATGGGGTCTCACTTGCTCAGGCTGGTATTGAACTCCTGACTTCAAGCAACCCTCCCACCCCAGTCTCTGAGACTGCTAGGATTACAGGCACAAGCCACCGTGCTCAGCCTCAATTATGCAATTTTTTTTTTTTTTTTTTGGAGACAGAGTCTCACTCTGTTGCCTGGGCTAGAGTGCCAGGGCAGCAGCCTAGCTCACAGCAACCTCAAACTCCTGGTCTCAAGCAATCCTCCTGCCTCAGCCTCCCGAGTAGCTGGGACTATAGGCATGCGTCACCATGCTCAGCTAATTTTTTTCCCTATGTATTTTTAGTTGGCCAATTAATTTCTTTCTATTTTTAGTAGACACGGGGGTCTCGCTTTTGCTCAGGCTAGTTTCAAACTCCTGACCTTGAGCGATCCACTTGCCTCAGCCTCTCAGAGTGCTAGGATTACAGGCATGAGCACTGCACCCGGCCCCAATCATGCAATTTTAAAAGAAATATTTATTGAAAGGATTCTTTGCATAATTATTTTAAAACAAAGATACTTACAAAGTCATCTCCTGAGTCAGCTCCCATAGAGGCAACAGATTCCTTGCTCACCGACCGTGGGATCCTAGTAGCACCTCCTGGCCTCTGAGCAACAGCAGTCTCTTCTGCAATTTTCTTCTTTAGTTTTGCAAACATTTTTGCTGTGTGGCTATCCTGCACAGATAACCAGCACTCAGTAGTCCTTAGGCCAGGGAACAGGATTCAGACACTGCTGCCTAAAAAGTTTGACATCCAAGCTAGCTGCAGTCCCACTTAAATGTGGGCCAAGGGTTATGGCAACACAGTATCTATAAATTAGATCAAAGAAACAGCTCTAAGTTAAACACTAGAAAGATTTCACATCTGAGCTGCTATGTTTAGTTTCAAAATTAAGTTTCATAACTTACATGGACACTTAATAGAACACAATTACTAAACGATTAAAAAGCACTGAAGTGCTTCATGTGCACATACAAATGAGGAAATCCAGTCTCTAGGAGGTGAATTAATCTGCCAAAGATTGTGTGAGTAATTGGCAGGGCTGGTATTTGAACACAGAAGTCTGTGATTCACAAATCCTTACATTTTTATTATACCATGTTGGCTATAGTATATGACACATTTGGTAAAATTTCCCAAGGCAAAAAACATTAACATCACATAATCATGACTTAATACTTTTAAATGGTTCCCTGTAAATTAAACTACAGTTTAGTGCTTTTTTAAAAAAGCTGAAGGCAAAAACATATATAACTCAATATGGGAGAAAGATGTAACATTCTAATGTTCCAGGATGGTTTGCAATCATCTGTTCCCTAGAAAAAAGCAGGCAAGCCAAACAACTGTACTGTATCAGATATCCTTAAACTTTCCCTGGAGATGCTGTGTGGTTTTCTTTGAGTTTGATAAAAATTACCTAAAATCACAATTTCTTTTCTTCAGATGTTTGACATTGTCTTGATATTCAACATAAGATTCAAATACATCTTCCTTCCAAAGGTGTATGAAATACTAATATCCTGGTCCCAACCTTTACTTTCCACGTTTTGTGGAGGACACCTAAGCTCTGATCTAAGATCTAAAAATGACTTCTTACCACTTCAGATTATCCACTAAGACTCTAAAGTCTTTCAAAAACTTTACATTCAATGCCTGTAAACCACTTACTCACCTGGCTTATCTACTAGATTTAAAACAGTCTGGAGGTCAAAGCATTCTGTCCTGCATGAAGACAAAGATAAAATGCGCTGGATATTTCTTTTCAAATGTAAGGCTAACATGTTAGTTGGAGGTAGGGGCTAGAAACAGAGGAAGAGGAGGGAGAGAGAATTAAGTAGGGGAAGAAAACCTGTCACAACTCGCAGTGAACTCCCCTAACCCTGGTCTGCTATGAATTTGTGATTCGCCTAAGAGCTTCACTTACAGGCACAAAGAATAGAATCGCTCACTGTAGTAGGTGCCTAAACTCACTCTCCTTGGGAACCCTGTGCGAAACAATTTGAATGAGATTAAGGTTTCCCGGGGCCAGTATTTACTTCTCAGTTGTTTCTCACACTCACACACTGTTTACGTGGCCAGACCCTGGGCTGTCTGGTCACGGAGCCTTGGTTCTCACTCAGTTGCTGAGAAAAAGGCAGGGAGAATTGGGTAAAAGACAAGACGCCTAAAGCCCAGGGAGGCAGACAGGTACCTGCCATGGCAGTTTGGATCTCACTCCCTCAGACTCCCTCCAGCCGCGCCCGTGCTTGGACAGTCAAAGAAAGGAAGGATTCAACATCTCTTTCATGTGACAGAAGGAAAACTGAGCCCCAAAGAGGAGGTGCGACTTGTCCAAGGTCGCGCAGGGAGGAATCCTGGAACCCCAGACTCCAGACTTCCAGGCCGGGGCAGCCCGCCTCCGCCCCTACTCGCCCTTACAGGACCCCGGAACGCCCCCCGCCTTGGGTCTTAGGCAACCCCGACCGGGCCGCTTTGGGGACAGACCAAGGCCAGCGGGAGAATGAGGGGTCTGCTCGCATTCCCAGAGTCCCGGCCCGCGCACCTGCCGCTCTCCGGGCAGCCAGCAGAGCCCCGCCTCCGGGGCCTCTCGTGAGAGCCAGCCCGCGTCACCAGCCCCCACGGCCGGCCGGCGAGCGGAGCAGCGACCCGGAACCGCATATACCCCGCGCGCCGGAAGTGACTGTGCGGAGGGTTGTCGCCTCCACGCTTGTGCGCCTGCGCGCGACCTGCGCGGCGGCGGCGCGAGCCTCCGGACGGCAGTTGGGCCGGAAAGACGGAGGGCGCGGAGGCCTGGTAGGGCGCTCTCTCAGGCCGGCTGGCCACGTCAGCGAGCGGCCAGAGCCGCAGGTGACGACTTGGTTACCAAGGCCTATCCTTTTCCTTCTCCCCTCCAGCTCCCACAGGAGCGTGTACGGAGCGGGAGAAGTGGTACGAGCCTCGTGGCAAAAGGGAAAGAACGCAGTCGGAGCCGCGGGCCCCGGTGTGCTTTGCTGCTGGGTAGAAACCCGGGGCCTACTCCCACGTAGGCTGGGCTGAAAAAAAAAAAAGAAAGAAAGAAAAAAACCCAGGTAGTGGCTGCGCGGGTTAGCCAAGCGCTAACCGCGCCTCCCGATCCCGCTGTACCTGACGCAGGCATCTTGTCACTGTGTGATCCGGGGAACTCTGTTCCTCCCTCCTCACACACAAGCCGGTGGCTCCAGAAACTGGGACCTTGCGCACTGTGACTAGTGGTTCAACTTTGGCGCCCATGATCTACTGAAGATGATAGGTATTAATATCACAGCCTATTACACGTGTAATGTACAGCCGAAAAAGTTTCCAGAACCACATCCTTGTAATATAATGCACTCTGATAAATTGCATCTCATTTAAAAACACTCTGGTGGCTGCCCACTATTAACTTTACAATCCACTAATGGGCCACCTCCTTTTCACAACGTCCAAAGAGGAAAAACTGTCTTATTCAAAGTCACAGGACAGCTGGGCGTGGTGGCTCACGCCTGTAATCTTAGCACTCTGGGAGGCAGAGGATCGCTTGAGGTCAGGAGTTCTAGATCAACCTGAGCAAGATTGAGATCCCCGTTTATTAAAAAAAAAGTCACAGTGCTAATTAGAAGCCTAAGTCGGGACTCAGGACTCCTCAAGGCCAAGCCAGTCATTCCATGTTAAAGGAACTCTAGTTCCAGCCCCCAGACCCAACACCAGCCCAAGGGTAAGGGGGATTATACCTGATTCTTCAACAACTCTGCTGTGTTCCAGTCCTGACCACCAGGGCAGGGAAAAACCAAAATCAGGGCTAAAAACTAAATTTACTAAGAGAATAAGCACTAAATCCATAACCCATAAGTAGTTTAATGCCTTTTGGGTATTATCTGAAAAAAAGCAAGCCCTAACAGTGTAGCACTTAATTTGTCAACAATACTGAAGAATACCAAAAACTTTAAGCAAATAACGTTTATTTTTATATTGATGATACACTTAATATATACGTGGATTCAAGATACAAAAATTCATTTACATGAGTTCACACCTGATGAATGTAGTCACATTCCTAGAGAACATTTATCAATGCAAAAATGTCTTTAATACACTGACAAAATCAAATATTCTGTAATCTCATTATTCAATAAACATCAAACAACGTTTAACTTTCCATTTCTAGTATTTAAGTGCCCTCAAGGTGGTAGGCACTGTATAACAAAAGAAAACATTGGAAAGCATACTGAATCCGCTCTGCAGAATCACAGTGTTTACTCTGAAATTCATTTAGTGAAGTAGTGAAAGGCTATCTTTTATGACAAATCACATATCACACAAGTCAAAAGTGATGAACTCAAGAAAATAAAATGTTTCAAGACTTCTCAATTTCTAAAATCTATGAAGTATTAACCATAACAGACAAGGCAGGAAAAGGCTGCTGGAAAGTAACAAAACAAAAACCATCTTTGTTTAAGAGAATGTATGGCTTAAGCAATTTAGAAACACAATGGACAAGAATTTTACAATACCACAAATGTTCAAGTCAAATTATATTGACAACATAATTATCCCCCTTAGTCACTGGTAGTAAATAACCCCTTCAAAATTTATTCTACTGATAACACATAAAAACTAATGAATCTAAAGTTTGGTGTCTAATAGGTAGGGCTGAGTTCATAGCTTTTGTTCTAAAGTATTAACCCACAATACCCAAATTTTAATACAAATGAACAACACTATGTTTCAAGGATTACAGTGATTTGTGAATAGCTAGGCAACCAAATAGCTTCATTGTTCGCAGGACATATTAGCAGCACTTGGATAGGAATTGTTACATGAAAATTATTGTGCTTCAGTCTCTTGAGGAGAGCTAATAAATATACCTCTATAATCCCTATAGTGTTACAATTCTATAACATTTCAGTTACAGACGAGCACAATTTTTAAAAAATATTTCACACCACTAGAAAATCAAGGAATTATATCTTTCAAATGTAATTACTGCTATGATTTAAACAAGTGCATTTCTGCCTAATATTCATAATGTAGACAATATGTTCACCATTATTTTCAGGGGAAAAAGACAAACATAACTTATTTTAACTCCTATGTGATTATCTTAACCTTTAGCTATAATTTGAATAATAAAGGAAATTCAACCTTACAATGGAAACTGCTTAGAGAAAATAATAAAATGGCCTGAAATTACAACAATCTTTAGAGCAAAGCAAAAAATGATTTATAACTGCTTCATCTGATTCAATGAGTAATGAAACCACCATTTATGCCGGGGCTAGATGATGAAGATAACCCATATGGATAAATTCTTTCACTTGTAAACTCTACTATGAAAATGTTAGGACATTTTATCTGCGTTTCCTATTATTTAAGACTTTTCTACCTCAACTGAAAGGATCCTCCAAAATAAAGGTCTCTCTGATTGTTGAACAAGTTTTATTAAAATCAAGCAAACAAAAAAAAAAAGGTTGGAGAACTAGCCATGTGATATATGTGGCAAAAGGAATGCATCAAGATAACTATAAAAAGCCACAAAAATCACATTGTAAATTATTTTACTAAACCAATAGGTCTTTTTAATGATATAATAAAGAACAGTTTAAAAAAAATTCTTCAGGAAATAGTAATAAAAATTCTTATTGCGATAAAACACTTTAAGCAATTTTTTCTTGAATATTTTTAATATTCCACAATACTTGCTTTAATTTAGAAAAGCAATTAACAGCATGCAAAGGAGGATGGGAATAAGATTTGAAAAATACAGTGGTTATTTCTCTATGGTTTGGAAGTATTTACTTTGGGATCATTACATATGATCATTTCATATTTTATAATGGTTACTTATATTGATCTCATGTTTGAGAAAATGTATGGTTCAAATTGTAATGTTGTCAAATCTAAATTTTCAATCATGGACAAGTACACATTCACAACAGCTTCAAAAGAGAAAAGAATATTAGTACCTAACATAAAATTTTAAATATTATTTACTGCAGATCTATAAGGCTAGCCATAATTCCATACCTCATTCTGAAAGTGATATAATAACTTGGCCTATTAACTTTCATTCCATAAGCCCATGAAAAAAGTAAAAATCTGAAACTGGAAATTATCAATTTTAATAAACAATATTACACCTAAAAAGATGATTGTCTTAGGATATAGACTAGAATTGTCCACCAAAATAGGAAAAATATTCCCAACTTATAGTCTGTTCTATGACCAAATTTAAGCTTAAGTGAATCTGTAGTTTGTAATATAATGTACTTCAAACTATTAAAAAACTCTGAATCTACTGTTCAAATACGTTTAAAAATCACACTGCTTACAGAAGTCTGATAACTATTTAAAAAGTAATTTTAAAAACCACAACAGAAATTAACAAAAATATTTTAAAATTAAGAAATGGTGCTTCAATCAGTGATTAAATAACAATATTATGTAAAAATGGAATTCCTCTCAAAAGTCAATATTACACCAAACTAATAAGTGAAAAATACCAATTTTAGCTTAAGAAAACATTTCATATTTACAGAATTCCAAAGGAAATATTTCTATGGCACCAGCAAACTAGTTATACTTAATTTATCTTTACCCAAAGTGGACCCCCCCCCATCATCCTGATACTCTTCCTACTAATAGGTGATTGATTCCATTCACACATCAATTATTTTCCCTTAAACATAAGGCATGCTTAAATAAGTGTTTCTGTTCAAAATCAATAGCTGGGACATAGTGTAATATTATGCTTTGAAATTCTAGTTTGAGGAAGATGAATTGCTTTGCTTTTTCCCCCCCTTTTAAGTGGTCCCGGGATCCAGGAAAGACTGGGAGGTACTGTATGAATAGGTGTAAAAAGTATCAATGTATAAGAGTGCAGGAGGATGGGGGGAAAGACTGGGTTTTCTCAACAGTTCTTACCTTATTCAACTGCAAAGTTACTGGCTTTATACCTGTCAGGGTCAGAGTATTACCAATTGCACTTTTTATTGTTGCTTCTCTCCTCAAATTAATGTCCATATGGAGCCTGAGTCAGTTCCATGAATTTTAAGTAACATAATATTGGTTCTACCACTCTCAAATTGCAAAAAAAAAAAAAAAAAAAAAATGATTTGGTTACTCAAACAACAGAAACATCTGATCCTATGGACATTTTCACTGATTTTGGGGAAATAACACATTACTAAATTTTAATATTATTCAAGAAAAAGGCTATTATTTTAAAATTTAATACCGTAATTGAAAAGTGTTATGAATAGTTGGCTGTTTTTTAAAAATACAACCAAGTGGCAAATATAACATTTTGGGGGTGATAAAACTGACTCCTGAACTAATTTCTCTATTTCAAGATAATTTAATGTTGGACCAGGGAGTTAATCTTCTGAAGAATAATGAGGTAAAAAGTTGCTTTGCAGTTATATTTTATCATGCAAAATAGCCTCTATTTAATTTCTGCAGTGAATGTATTCAATGTATATTAAACATCTCCTACACCCTTTCATGCAAATACACATGTCAACTGATGACCGGAGTAATCGAACATTGATACTCATTGATAATCCATAGGTTCACAAACTGGCACTGCACATATTTACTATTCTCTCATCCTCCCCAACCATACCATCCTTGGGAGAGGTTTGAAGGCCCAGATTTTTATAGCACACCATGCATCTATTATTAAGAATTCTACTTCATGTGTGAATATATCATCAACTTGCAGAACACAAGTGGTCTCACAGAGACACAGCAATATAACTGGAGGCATTTTATTCACTGGAAGCATTTTCTCAGATTAGCATACTCATCTTTGATATGAGATTCCAATAAGAAAAATCTATGGTCGGAAATGCCAAGACAGAACTAAATTAATCACAGCTGCTGCAAATATACAGATTAACAACCTCAATAAATCCTACTCTACTTTGGTTAGGCCTTCCCTTAGCTAATGCCCCCTTTTCTGCCTCACAGAGACATATATAAAAAGAGGCGCACTGACAAAAAAACTGTTCCAAAATTAAAATTTAGTATCAGGTATAGAAATGACAACTGGGAACGTATTTCCCCCATTTAATAGACATTTTGCTAACTATTTTTAAATGTGATCAAAGTATCTTTTCCCATAGACCCTTGATTAGGTCCCAATATAAATAATTTACTACTGAGTAATAATACTCAAATATGGGTCAAGAAAATAAAGGACTAATATAGCTTAAGAATCTGCTGGTGTCTCATTTTCACATACTTAGGTTTTTCGGTTTTGTACCGCTAATTTGTCATTTTAAATAAAAATTTGCAGATGATTTTAAAGCTAACAATGTCCAGCTTTCTGTTAAGATCTTCATATTCTAATTTCAACTCCAAATCAGGCCATTTTATCCAAACACAAGCCCCTCAAAATAGAAGCTCATGAATGAGATACACTCACAATCTAATTACAGCAGCATGAACAATGCCACTAGGATGTCCTCACAGAACTTAAATAAATTCAGCCCACAATGGGTATGGGTATATAATATACACATACTGTATCATTGCATACCAATATATTTACAAATATGTACACATATATACAAAAAGTATACACAGATTGCATTTAGCATCACAAAAATATACATATGCTATTACAAATAAAATAAGAATTTCAAATAAATAAAGTCAACAAAAGAGCCCTCAATGAAAATACCCTTAATATTCTCCAAACATACACACAGGAACATATACACCCAAAATATCACCAGAAGATTGATAGCATTCATATTCATATCAAATCTTTTACTCACTTAGGATGAGCAGGTGGCTCTGAATCACCAGCAGTGGCCAAGTTAGCAGACTTTGGCACCTTACTACATTTCCATTCCAGAATGTTCTCTGTATATCAGGCTGATAACAAGTCCCCATAACTATATATACAAGATTTTTCGCCAGGGTCCAAACTACTTCTCAGAGACAGAATGTTACTAATCACACAGGTCAGAGATTAAAGTTGGAGAAGAATGTTAAAGTTATATAATTAATACATAAATCTGATTTGTCACTTGTCCCCTTACCTTGACTAAATTCAGTACAATTACCACCTAATCTGGTTCAGGGGATTCTATTGCACCAAGAAAATGAAGAGCAGTAGCTAGAAGTGTGTGTGCTGGGGGTAGGGTGGGGGGTGAAACCCAGATTTATATTAGGAAAATTTCAGCCACAACTGGATTGCACTTTGCTTCTATAATCTTGAAATATTTCAATTTGGTAAAAATATAAAGGGTACAATAAATTCTGTGCTTTGAGGGGTTATGATAGCACCACTTTCTAGGATAAACACATACACACACACATACACACACACACACAGGAAGAATACATCCTGGCTAAAATAAAAGATAAAATGACTGACTTATGAATTTTTATAATTAATAAGAATTTGCTAGGGCTGACTGATTCACTGGTTTCAAAATTGATACAGAAAAAATTACCATAAGCTTTTGTGCCAAAATATAAATCTCTATTTTTTTCTTGTTTATTATTAAACATTTTTTTGTCTGTTATAGAACATTTTCTTGTTCATTCTAGAAAGCAGTCTGAGCTTTCAGTAGAGAAGACTGGGCTGAGATTAGGAGATATGAGTTTTAGTTCTAGCTTTTATCACTTTGAATAGCTTTTTGGGTCTCAGCTTTCTTTTCTGTAAAATTGGGAAGATAGTTGCTTCACCAACTTCAGAAATATATATATAACAAAAGGGAAAAGTCCATTGTGCTTCATTTTGTTTTGTGTATAACTGACTTCTTGTAATGTTACACTTTTTATTTTGTTTACAGTGATCTTAAGGGAGATGAGAGACTGCATCAGAAGCTCCAGGGAGAGTTTGTGCAACTTGAAAACAGAAAAGTCCTCTTTCCCATTGTTTTGCTTCATTTTTCATTCTAAGATTTAAATGTTTATGAATTCTAAAATTAAATAAATAGAGTTTAACATTTTTATAAAGGAGGTACTGGTATGCATTTAGAAAAATGAGATTGTTTGCTACTGTCTCCTCAAGCCCATTGGGTGATTGTCCTTTTACATTTCTTCTTCCTCGATTAAAGTAATACTTTCAAATGTAGAAGCTGGGTGAAAGATACGAGAAGCGTTCATTAAACTCTGTGTATGTTTAAAACTTTCATGACAAAAGGTAAAGAAAAACAAACACAAAGTGTTTGTGCAAATGTGACCTTCCCAATGAACCCTAACCTGATGACTATTTTTTCTTTCTTTCTTTTTTAGAGACGGGTCTCACTATGTTGCCAAGGCAGGCCTCAAACTCTGGGTTCAAGTAATCCTCTTGTCTCAGTCTCCCAAGTAGCTGGGACTACAGGGCACACCACTGCAACCAGCTTAATCAATCTGTTAAATATTGTTCTTCTCTCAAAAAAGGATCTTTCTTATCATCCCACCTTTTCTCCATCCTACTTCTTCATCCTAACATAAATTTAATTACTCATATTTATTGCCTTATTCTTTCTACTATAATACAATGTAAACTTCATGATCACCAAGATTTTTAAGTCTACTTTGTCCGCATCCCCAGTGCCCAGAAGAAAATCTAGAGTATAGTGGTTGTTCGACACACATTTTGTTTAAGGCATAAATGAAACAATCATTTAGGATTTTCTCTCACAGTTTTCCTCTCTTTGAAGATTCAAGATCCCTTCAGTCCCCTCCCAGTAAGGAACTGCACTACTATCTATCCTAGTTGTGATTTCTAAGATCCCTTGTTGTTAGACAACCATGTTTTTAATCATAAAAGCTCTAATTTCTTCAGGCGAAGTCTTTCTCTGAACTAGTTTCTAAAACAGCTAAGTGGGTCCTAGATATTTTCTTGAAAAAAATCTAAGTAAATACGATCTAGAAAAGAAAATGTTACGTACTCTAAAATCAGGATAACTAGTTTTCCTACACCAAGGGTAGGAAAATCAATATTTTTGGAAACAGATCCAAATTATAAAATCGTAGAGTTGAAAAGGACCTCAGGCCAATCCCTTCATTTTACAGATGAGAACACTAACAAGCAAAGACATGAAGACACTTGTCAAAAGGCATAACACTAGTTACCAAGAAAGCCAGGATTAGAACTCAGGTCTCCTAGTTCTCAGACCAGTGTTCTTTATGCTTAACAGGTGATGATAAAGCTCAGGACAATAAATATTATTTTAAACACCAGAGAACAGGAAAATATGTGTTGGTGGCAGTATATCTGGCACAGGACTTCAGGGGAATTGAAACAAAAGGTCAGATAACTAAAAACAGTCTATTGCTGTAGTTCAGATGAACACTGTTATGAAAGGAAAGCTATGAAGTTTATTAATGTACTAAAAAAAAGGAATGCAGTCTTTATCTGAAAATGAAAGCAACCAGCTAGCAAAGAAACTATTTCAAAGAACAAAAATAAATTTTAAAACTAAACAAAACACTCCAAAGTCCCCAAACCCAAGAACAATAACTTTCAGACTTCAGATGAAAAATTGAATGGGAATAATTTAGACCCAAATTAGTCTCACCAGAAATGAAAACCAAGTTAAATATTATAGAAAATTTCCCTGGTGACATAGGAAAGAAACGCCAAAAACAATCACGTCATTTCCCCCAGGACTGATGGGTAGAATGTGAGCCTGCACAGAAAATTAGGTAGAAGCCTTTCATTCACAGATTTCAGAACTAGAATGCTGTGCAAGCAAAAAAAAAAAAAAGTGGGGGAGGACTTCATAGGTAGGGACTGAAATTATGAAGGGGATGACAGGGAAGAAACCCACAAAGATCTTTATGTTAAACACTGAGTACTATTTAAAATAATAAATTTGTGCATGACTATAAAATACTAAATACAAGGAGTTTTAACAAATCTTATTTCCAAATTGTCCATGCAAAACCAACTTACATTTGCAGTTTCATAATAGCCAGTTACCCCAACCTAAATTAATAAAATCTCTGACTTTTAAGTCTCATAAATTTGAGCTAGGCAAAAAGATTAAGAACTCTGTACTTTTTGTCACAGAGGTCAATCCAGACAGTCTTTAAACTTGATCTCATAAGCTAAGAGTTTAAACAGAATTCCAACTGAAGACACTATCTTATGAAACCAACAACCTGATTTTTTTGACTGAAATATTTAAGTGTTTCTTTTCTCATTTCCATCATTCGAAGACTACAAAGAAAACAAAACATGTAAACAAATCTCATGAAAACACAGGACTCACACATTCCAAGTAATATTTGTCATCTTAAGCCCCCAATTAAGTACCTAGCTTTTAGATGCAAATCAATCTTACATGGTTTCTGAAATTGACAGTACTTAAAAAAGGATTTCAAGATCTGTCCTGATCATGCTTCATGGAATCACACATTTTTCTACCAACTAACTTGGAATGAAAAGAAATATTATGAAAGGACTCTGTTCTTGATTTTCAACAGTCCATGGTGGCTAGTTTCATCATTATGAATAATTACATATTTTCCAAACCCAGACTTTTAACTTATCTCCAAGTATAAGAGTTGGATTTACCTCATTATACAAAAATAAATGATTTATTCCTCTCAGGGTGAGAATGGTGACTATTTAACCTTATAAGATTAGATGTTGAAGGTAAGTATCTATACCTCAAAATCAAAAAATAAAAATTCCAAGATTAGTTGAGATTTTAAAAGACCTGAAAGATTGCATTTTAAAAGTTACCCTAAAAGTTTGAACCTTTTTTTCAGTTTGTTTTTAAAATGGTGGTCCTAAATTAAAAAATAAAAACTACGTAACACCACTATGTGTCTGTTATCACATTAGAAAACTGCACCATTTAAAATCTGTGGAAAATGAAAAATTGTTTCAAGAGAATTTTTCTTTTAATAGTCATCTATGGTATTCTCAAAGAACACGTTTCGAACATCCAGAATGGATGCTAATTCCAAAATGTGCTTCTGGAGATGAGGATTCTCTACTGTTTCATCCCTTGGCAGTTGTGGATATGATTCTGGATAATTTCGTGTTTCCTGATAGACAAAAAAGAGAAAAGTCAATTTTTGTAGTCTAATGAGAGAAAATTTTATACAACATTGGTACAGCATTAAGGAGCAATTTAATATATATTTTTTTCCTTTATATTGGTGTGATTCTTTTTTTTTTTTTTTTGAGACAGAGTCTCGCTTTGTTGCCCAGGCTAGAGTGAGTGCCGTGGTGTCAGCCTAGCTCACAGCAACCTCAAACTCCTGGGCTCAAGCAATCCTCCTGCCTCAGCCTCCCGAGTAGCTGGGATTACAGGCACGCGCCACCATGCCCGGCTAATTTTATATATATATATTAGTTGGCCAATTAATTTCTTTCTATTTTTATAGTAGAGACAGGGTCTCGCTCAGGCTGGTTTTGAACTCCTGACCTTGAGCAATCCGCCCGCCTCGGCCTCCCAGTGTGCTAGGAGGTGTGATTCTTTTTTTAAAAAAAAAATTTGTTTTAGGCCGGGCACAGTGGCTCACGCCTATAATCCTAGTACTCTGGGAGGCCAAGGCGGGTAGATTGCTTGAGGTTAGGAGTTCAAAACCGGCCTGGGCAAGAGCGAGACCCCATCTCTACTATAAATAGAAAGAAATTAATTGACCAACTAAAAAATACATATATATACATAAGAATTAGTCGGGCATGGTGGCGCATGCCTGTTGTCCCAGCTACTTGGGAGGCTGAGGCAGTAGGATCGCGTGAGCACAGGAGACTGAGGTTGCTGTGGGCTAGGCTGATGCCACAGCACTCACTCTAGCCTGGGCAACAAAGTGAGACTCTGTCTCAAAAAAAAAAAAAATTTGTTTCAGAGATGGAGTCTTGCTATTCTGCCAAGGCTTGTCTTGAACTCCAGGGCTCAAGCAATACTCCCACTTCAGCCTCCCAAAACTTTGGGATTACAGGTGTGAGCCACTGGACCTGGCCTATATTGGTATGATTCTTACTGGTAATATATTTGTTGAATAATGAATTGCTGACATTTGACCATTTTGTCCTCTAAAAATGACAATTTCACAAGGTTCAACTTAATATATTCATTTAGTGAGTTATTCCACAATGATTACTGAAGCTTATTGTTGCTATGCACTATATTGTATCATGTGGAAACCTTAAAAATTCATGCTTCCTGGGGGAAATCCTAGCACATAGAGAAAGTCAACAATTATCTGTTAAATGAATACATAGTTGTTGCATTGCAAATGAACATGAGGGAAAGACACAAAAAGCACAAATTACGCAGTTGCTCACGCCTGTAATCCTAGCACTCTGGGAGGCCGAGGCAGGCGGATTGCTTGAGGTCAGGAGTTCGAAACCAGCCTGAGCAAGAGCGAGACCCAGTCTCTACTAAAAAAAAAAAATGGAAACAAATTAATTGGCCAACTAAAAATAAATACAAAAAATTAGCTAGGTGAGATGGTGTGTGCCTATAGTCTCAGCTATTCGGGAGGCCGAGGAAGAAGGATTGCTTAAGCCTAGGAATTTGAGGTTGCTGTGAGCTAGGCTAACACACCACAGCACTCTAGCCCGGGCAACAGCGTGAGACTCTGTCCCAAAAAAAAAAAAAAAAAAAAAAAAAAAAAAAAACAACACAAGAAAGGACAAATTAATGGGCCTTGGCATTTCATTATAGGAGAAAGAGATATCAAAAATGACTGCAAGATTCCAGGAATGCACGATGACTTGATAGAAGAGTTGAAAGCCACTGAGAGAAAAAGGGAGGTAAAGGATGAGATAATTTGGGAAGAGTATAAAGTCTCACATTTTAGGTATATTTTATTGAGGTAATAGGGTAATACTGATAGAACTGTTCCTCAACTAGAATTTGAAAACTCAGGGCTGTATCTCAGAAGATAAGTTTGAGGAGTAATATAAAAAATAATATAATCTTTTTTTTTTTTGAGACAGAGTCTCACTTTGTTGCCCAGGCTAGAGTGAGTGCCGTGGCGTCAGCCTGGCTCACAGCAACCTCAAACTCCTGGGCTCAAGTGATCCTCCTGCCTCAGCCTCCCAAGTAGCTGGGACTACAGGCATGCGCCACCATGCCCGGCCAATTTCTTCTATGTATATTAGTTGGCCAATTAATTTCTTTCTATTTATAGTAGAGATGGGGTCTCGCTCTTGCTCAGGCTGGTTTTGAACTCCTGACCTCGAGCAATCTGCCCGCCTTGGCCTCCCAGAGAGCTAGGATTACAGGCGTGAGCCAACCCGCCTGGCCCAATGATATAATCTTTATGGAGATTGTGAAACCATGAAAATGGATGAGAATTCTAAGAATATTAGCAAAGACAGTGAAAAAGAATTAAGGCAGTATTAAAAAGGTGAATAAAAATCAGGATAAAAAACAGGGAGAAAAGGAATAACAAAAGAAAACAAAAAAATTTGACATGTAAACAAAAGGAGATAGTTTTAACAATCAAGTAATTCTCATTTGGAAAATCTTCTTCATTTGGTAAATTCTACAAATTATAATTTTTGCCTCACAATAAAAACTTCCTGAAGGGCCAGGCAGTGGCTCACACCTCTAATCCTAGCTCTCTAGGAGGCCGAGGGTGGAGGATAGCTCAAGGCCAGGAGTTCGACACCAGCTTGATCAAGAGCGACACCAGCCTGATCAAGAGCGAGAGCCGTCTCTACTATAAATAGAAAGAAATTAATTGGCCAACTAAAAATATATGGAGAAAAAATTAGCCACGCATGGTGGCATATGCCTATAGTCCCAGCTACTTGGGAGGCTGAGGCAGGAGGATTGCTTGAGCCCAGGAGTTTAAGGTTGCTGTGAGCTAGCCTGACGCCACGGCACTCACTCTAGCCTGGGCAACAAAGCGAGACTCTGTCTCGAAAAACAAAAAATTTCATGAAGAAATAAGTCGCTGCTTTGCTATGAAATTCACATGATACTTCATATAGTCAAATGTCACTTGTATCTCTCTTTGCCTGTAGAGCTCACTCATTATACAATACAAAAATGAAATTTTTATTTTACCACATTAAATACTAAGAGAAGTTACAAAAATAAAATATTCAAAAGCCCTAAAAAAGGAGAAAACAAAACAATACATAAAACCAAGAACTACTGCGGGATTATAAACTAAACGATTCACTCAGCACACACCAGGCTGGGAGATGTTTGAGTCCTGATCAAATATCTTCCAAAGTAGAGAATATTTGTTGAAATAGGGGATATATAAAAGAGACTCCGGGCCGAGCACAGTGGCTTATGCCTGTAGTACCAACACTCTGGGAGGCTAAGGTATAAAGGACTGCTTGAGCTGGGAAGTTCAGGACCAGCCTGAACAAAAGTGGAAGCGGTTCACCAGAAAGGTCTTCGTGGTGGTCTTTTCACAATGAGTAGGCTAAAGAGGAGGAGGAAGGGGAAGGGCTGGCCTTGCTGTCTCAGGGGTGGCAGAGCTGGAAGGGAGGCAGGAGAAGCAGGCACACTCGGTGTAACTTTACAGAAACACATCATAATTTCTCTCCAACTGTTTTGCTTTCTCATTTCCTCAAAAATATTTCTATCCGGTAGCAGTCCTTCTTCCACCATTTGCTTTAGTTTCAGTGCCCATATCACAGCAGTGTCCATGTCACATAAATCAAAAGCTAAGTCTTGAATAATTGGAACCCTCTACCAGACTGCCGAATTTCAATTTGCTTTCTGGCACTGCTACTTCTGTGTATTCTTCCTCATTGTCTGACACTGGTTCAGAAGTACTCATCTCCATCCAGTCATCTTCTGTTAATTCCTCTGGTGTGATATCTGTTAGCTCTGGAATTTCTCCAAAACCTATAACTTACAACTCTTCATCCCCCACCATTTTTTGTCATGTCCACAATCTCATGATTTTGTTGACTGGCTTTGTGGTAAATACTATGAAGTCATGTGCAATATCTAGACACAGTTTTCTCCAATGGGAACATACTGTTTGAGGCTTTCACAGCTTTTTCTATAACAACGATAGCATCTTCAGTGGTGGAAGGCAAACTGATACAACCACTTTGGAAAACAGTTTGGCATTACCTAGTAAAGTTAAATATACTTATATCTTCCGACCTTGCGATTCCACTATTTGGTGTATTCTCCAGAAAAAATCTTACATATATGTACCAGGAAATAGATACATGAATTTCACAGTGGCATTGTTTATATAATAATAAAAAACTGGAAATAACTCAAACGTCTATTATCAGTAAAATGGATAAGTAATTTGTGATAGATAGTCAAATAATGCCTAGTATTATATATTTAAACAAAATGAATGAAGAAGTTTATAGTTATCAGTGTAGCTCACTCTCAAGAATATAATCTTGATTGGAAAAAAGCAAGCTATAGAAGAATGCATACAATATAGATCCATCATAAATTGTTTAGAAATATAAACACATGTGGAAAAACTATAAAGAAAAGTGAATGATAATTATAAAATTCAGGATGTCAGTTTCGTTTGAGAGGGAGATAGGATCAGGGAGGATCTACAGAGAGCCCTTAAAGGTAATGAAATTAAAATATCCTACTTCTTAAACAGGGTGTTAGGCATTCAGACATGCCTTAACATTATTAATCTTTATACTTTACATATTCATTTATAAATATTATTTAAGATCTATTTAATATAGGTAAAATGTAACACATTATTCTTAAATACCTAAATAATAAAATTGGTCTTTAGGCCGGGCGCGGTGGCTCACGCCTGTAATCCTAGCACTCTGGGAGGCCGAGGCGGGCGGATTGCTTGAGGTCAGGAGTTCGAAACCAGCCTGAGCAAGAGCAAGACCCCATCTCTACTATAAATAGAAAGAAATTAATTGGCCAACTAATATATATATAAAATTAGCCGGGCATGGTGGCGCATGCCTGTAGTCCCAGCTACTCGGGAGGCTGAGGCAGAAGGATTGCTTGAGCCCAGGAGTTTGAGGTTGCTGTGAGCTAGGCTGACGCCATGGCACTCACTCTAGCCTGTGCAACAAAGTGAGACTCTGTCTCAAAAAAAAAAAAAAAAAAAAAATATGGTCTTTAATAATTTTCCTTTTCATGCCTGTAATTCTAGCACTTTGGGAGGCCAAGGAGGGAGGATCGCTTGAGCCCAGGAGCTCGAGGTTACAGTGAGGTATGATCATGCCACTGCACTCTAGCCTAGGTGACAGAGCAAGACCATGTCTCTAAAAAACAAACAATCAATCAATCAATCAATAATATTCTTTACCTACCCGAAAAATCTTGTGCATCCTCATGGTGGCTGAACAAAAAATAAATCTTGTGAGAAGTAAGCGAAGAAATTCATCTCCAAAAAACTGGAGAAACGCCTGATCTGCAAAGAGGAGAAAGGCGACAGTAAAAGGGTGTCTAAATGGAGATTACATTTCAAAGGGAAGGAGACTTCAGGAAAGTCTTCTCAACTTTCCTGTCTGGGACAAATACCTTTAAAAATTCAAACAATTTAAAATATGTAACCATTTTAAGCCATTATAGTACATTCTGTTAAGTGTGCAGTTAGATTAGGAGGGTACCTATTGAACGTGAATGGGTCAGTAGCTGGGCAATATCACGGTTGATTTTTCGAAGATATTCTTGACATTTTTCCCACAGGCCTCTACGCATGCTTGACAATCCAGAGACAAATAGGAAGGCCATTAGAGGATTGTTCAAAAAGAGAGTGAAGAGGCTACCTCGTTGAGATTGATCTGTAATAACAAACATGTTATATATAGAGACAATAGTTTTGCAAAAAAATAAGGGATACACACGAGGAACATTTTAATATACTGATAATGTATAAAATTAAAGCTATATCATTAAATCATAATTCAACAAAACAGACTTTACATGAAGCTACAAAAACATATACCAGTTATGTTGCTTTCTGTGAACAAACTTAAAAGAGGGCCTAGTAAACTTAAGAGAAATGGAAAATGAACATAGTCCTTACCATTTTTTACTCCCAACTAACAAATTTCATCCAAATATGGCAAGTGTTAGATCAAAGGCTATCAATGATAGAATTCTCTGATGTGTAGTAGAATTGCCAATCTTTTCCATTCTCCTTTGTTAGTTGCTCTTTCTCTGCCTGTCCCTTACATATGAGTATTTTCTTTTTTTGGCCCTTCACATAACTGATCTCTACTACTATCATGATATTAGTTACCATTTATATGGCTACTGAATCCTAATTCCCTCTCTGCAGCCCAGATTGAATTCCTTAGGCCCAGCTCTGTACTGTACTGCAGTAGCTACTGCACACTTAAAATGACTGGTGACTGGTATACACTGAGGCACACTATGAAGAATAAAATACACACTGAATTTCAAAGCCTCAATACAAGAAGATTTATTGTCAACACTAACTTTACCTGTTTATTTTTACTTTTTTCTTTGTTGTCCTCCCCTACCCCCTTGTTTTTACTTTTAAAATCTAGGCACTAAAAAATTAATAATTACATATTTTACACATTATATTTTTATTGGACAGTGTTGCTCTAGACTACTATATTCAATCTAAGTCTCAAAGGCAACTCAAACATAATGCATCAACAACAGAAAGCAAATTCTTTCCCTTTTTGTTCTCTACAAATATGCTTCTCATCAAGTAGCACCTTAGCCAGAAGCCTGCAAGTTCATTCCTGCCTTCCTCCCAACACTTTGTCAGTCCATCACCAAGTCCCACTGGTTTTATTGGCTTGGTATCTATTGAAGCCAGATACCCAGTTACTACTCTAGCTCCAGCCACCACCATCACCCTATTTCCATCCATGTTCCACCCAATTTGTTCTTTAAGAGATTAACTGAATGCTCCTTCATGCTACTCCTCTGTTTAAAACCTTTTGATGGTACAAGTTGAGTATACCTTATGTGAAATCCTTGGAACCAGAAGTCTTTCAGATTTGGGATTTTGGGATATTTGCATATACATAATGAGATATCTTGGGGATCGATCCCAAATCTAAACACAAAATTTATTTCTATTTCATATACATCTTACACACATAGGCTGAAGGTAATTTTATACAATATTTTGTGCATAAAAAAAAGTTTGTGCTCAATAATTTATGCATAGAATTTCCACTTTTGGTGTCGTGTTAGCACTCAAAAACTTTCAAATTTTGAAGCATTTCGGATTTCAGATTTTCAGATGAGGGATGTTCAACCCATACCCCATTATCCTCCACTTATATTGATCAACAAATCTTTTTTTTTTTTTTGAGACAGAGTCTTACTCTGTTGCCTGGGCTAGAGTGCCAGGGCAGCAGCCTAGCTCACAGCAACCTCAAACTCCTGGTCTCAAGTGATCCTCCTGCCTCAGCCTCCCGAGTAGCTGGGACTACAGGCATGCATCACCATGCCCAGCTAATTTTTTTTCCTATGTATTTTTAGTTGGCCAATTAATTTCTATTTTTAGTAGAGCCGGGGTCTCACTTTTGCTCAGGCTGGTTTCTAACTCCTGACCTTGAGAGTGATCCACCAGCCTTGGCCTCCCAGAGTGCTAGGATTACAGGTGTGAGCCACCATGCCGGCCAATCAACGAATCTTAAAAGCTTTTTTATAACTCAGTCACATAATTCCAAACTCCACCCTTGAGCTAGAAGGAGCTACTTTAATTTGTGTCAAAAGCTGTCTTAGCTCAGGTCCAAAGCACCGCAAATTCTCTGCAGGAATACTCTCGGCCTTTCACTGCCCTGTGCCCATCTAATTCTACATGTTCTCAAAATGCGCTTCAGATATCATCTCATCTCCTTCTTTCACCCTCACATGCTAGTTAGGAGTTCCTCATACGTGTTCCTGTGCACCCTCCTGTGAAACACTTACAGTAATTGCCTGTTGGGTTGCCTATATTTTCTACTTGACATTTGGCTCGGTGAGAAACAATTGTGTTTTTCAGGCCAGAGTGCTATCTCCTGTGCCTAGCATAGTATCTGACAATGAAACGTTGAATAAATGTTTGTTGAATGAATGAAGTGACTCTTGGCTAACGAGAGAACTATAGGCTTTAGATACCAGAAATGCAGGAACCTTCTATGACATTCCAGTTACTTGTAGATCTGCTAGTTTTATGCCCACATCGAGGACCAACCCCTTTTGCAGAGAGGTAAGTAGCAATAACGCCTATGGATAAACCCAAAATGTTTCTCACAAAAGAATTTTGAATCTCCTGTGTAACTGAACAATTCATTTAACATGTTAGAAGTATAAGCTTTATAGCATGACAGGATACTGGACAAAAAAATGTTAAGGACATATATTACAACTAAGCATATTACTAATAATCAAAGCACATACTGAAAACTTCCTATGTGCCCAGCATTATTCTATGAGGTAGCTACTATTATTATTTCCATTTGACAGATGAAGAAATTGAGGCACAGAATGGCTGAGTAACTTCCCAAAGTCACACAGCTAGTAAGTGGCTAAGTCGGGATTCAAATTCAGTTTGTCTGTGTTTTTCTCCCTTATACAATAGTCTTTTAGACCAATTAATCTTGATATTAATCCATTTGACCATGCAATTTTAAATAAAAGTTCATCATGATAAGACAGATTGAGAGCAAAAAGTACTCTCGAGTAACTGGACAGGATCACATTCTTCTAGAAATGCTAGGAAACAGGATAACAAAATCCTCAAAGCAGGAGAATTTTACCGTTGTTTGAAGGTAAGTTCTATCCCTTAGTAGTTTGACTATTGGATACATGAACTAAAATATTTCTACATATTTTTCCCTGTTGAACAGCAGAACTTACCTTAAAACAACGGTGAAAGTCTCCAGCTTCTCTCAGGCATTCAAATGCTGACCATCACTTCCTGTGTCAAACTATGTCAGCAGACAGGACTTCTGGCTGGGAAGTAGCAGTAAAATGCCATCTCCCACAGAGAGACATCAGCACTATTCACAGTCAGGGAGATAGTGAAACAGTGACAAGTACTGCTAAAACAGTGTTAAGGTTTGTTTAGTATTTTACCTACTAAATGACTGGGAGTTAGAATTAGATTTTATGTGTTACTAATTAAGGATAAATCATCAAGGGCAAAAGTCTTTCAATTCTCAGCTATTGGAGACATGGGCAAAACACTAATCTGTCTCTCTGGCCATCTTAGAAGAGGTTCTTCTATTTAAAGAACACAGCAAGGTAAAAATGCAAATAAAAGAAACTCTTTAATTTGTGCCAGTTAGGTTATCCTAACTCAGGCACAGACTGAGAAGTTTCCTGAACTAGCAATCTTATACTCTTAAAAGATGACTAAAATATGTAACCAAAGATATAGGAAAGAAATCATGCTATATGGATATGACAAGCATATCAAAACAAACACCTGTAAAACAAATTTTAAAATTTACAAATCATGTGTTCCCCAACAGCAAGGGACAAGACTACCTCTTTCTCAGAGATGAATTATCTCAAGGCCTAATGGTAGCACATTAAGGAAGTCTGGTTGTTGGCAGTTTCTGGGTATTTCAGAGTGACACCTGCCATACAAACACCATAAATCCACATGTGACAATTATGGGAGGTAAAAACAAAGATCATTATTACCTAAAATGTAGATAGTGTTTATTTGCAACCTATGGGTGTAATAGATAATGACAGTACATACCTTGTAAAGCTTTTGGATATGCTGTAGGAGAAAGCAAGCAGACTAGTGGCTGTCCAAACAAGTTTGTGAAATTCTGTAATATATAAGAATTTAAAACTTTCATTAAAGATTTGACCAGAGATAGTTACTTAGTAATTTTCCAAAGCACATTAGTGTATAGATTCAGCCCTTTAACTCATAAGCAGATGTAGAAACATCAATAACATCAGCTGAAGAGACTGCCATTCACATATAATTACCAAGCAAAACATGCTTTCTTAAAGGCTCTCAATTAAAATAGTGAAGTTTACTAAATGAACTATTGGCTTTTTAAAATAAAGGCATATACATGATTGTACTGTTGCAGGGAGAGTTTATCTGGCTATATACTAAGAGGCCTCTCCATCAGGCAATTTACACTAATATACACTAGGATGAACTTTCCAGGATCTAGGATCTGGTTTCAGCCTATTAAAGGCTCTAAAACCTGATTTCCTGGTATGTGAAGACTGGATCCATTTCTTTTTGTGGACCATAAGAAAGATGTATAAAACCAGAATGTCAATATGTAATTTCCATTGAGAATTAAGTTGATACTCAAACTAGAGTACTCTTTGTATAATAAAGGTTATTCTGTCTTTGAAGGCAGATCTACATAGGAAGTAAAATCATAAAGTGTTTGGTAAAGCAAAAAGAAAGATAAACCTGTTAGGAGTAAAGTTAATAAATGAATAAACAAAAGTAACTTTAAAACACTCCTAAATGATAAAAATTATGACTTGAACAAATAGGAAGACATACTATGTTCTTAAAGACAAACTCATTCTAAAACGTCATCACACTGATTTATTAAAACTTAAACCAACTTCAGGCCGGGTGTGGTGGCTCACGCCTGTAATCCTAGCACTCTAGGAGGCCGAGGCAGGCGGATTGCTTGAGGTCAGGAGTTCAAAACCAGCCTGAGCGAGACCCCATCTCTACTAAAAATAGAAAGAAATTAATTGACCAACTAAAAATATATATACAAAAATTAGCCAGGCATGGTGGCACATGCCTGTAGTCCCAGCTACTTGGGAGGCTGAGGCAGTAGGATCGCTTGAGCCCAGGAGTTTGAGGTTCCTGTGAGCTAGGCTGATGCCACAGCACTCACTCTAGCCTGGGCAACAAAGTGAGACTCTGTCTCAAAAAAGAAAAAACAAAAACTTAAACCAACTTCGATAAAAACAGCCACAGACATTTTCCCCTGCAATTGAAAAAGGTAATGATAAAGTTCTTATGGAAAAATTAGATTAGCCAGAAGAATTCTGAAAACAAGGAAAAAGGAGAACTAGACTTATCAGATATTAAAACATACTTTAAAAGCTCAGTAATTAAAAATGTGCAGCATTAGCACAGAGTAGGCAGAAAACTAAGGGAACAGAATGAAAAGTTCAGAATTAGACTCCAAAACATTTAGGACTTCGGTGTATATGATAAAGATGACAGCTCAAATTGGAGATTTGTCTATGATAAAGAAGACAGCTCAAATCCAGAAAAACTGGATAGCCACCATTCAGAAACACACTTCATGCCATACACTAGGATAAATTCCAATTATATCAAAGATTTAAATGTAAAAAATTGAATTAAAGTGGTGAAAAAATGTTATTTTTGAGATCTAGAAGACTTTCCTATTATGATTAGCTAAGATTAATAAATATAGCATAAACAAAATCAAAAGCCAAAAAACAAACTGAAGAAAATATGTGAAATCTTACATTACAAAGGATTAATCTCCTTAAAATATAAAGCGCTTCTCTAAAGCAATAAGAAAAAACTGGGAAGCAGGGGATAAAGTGGGGATGATCAATGGGAACAAAAATACAGTTAGATAGAATGAGTAGGATCTAGTATTTGTATTTGGTAGCACAGTAAGATGACTATAGTTAACAATAATTTATTGTGTATTTAAAAAACTAAAGTAGAATTGAAATGTTCTTAACACAAAGAAATGATGAATGCTTCAAGGGTTGGATACTCCAATTACCTTGTATAGGATGTTACTATCATTTATATAACTAAGAAGACTAAAGATAACGTATTTGTTTTGGCTTATATATGCATTTTAAAATTTTTTCTAGAAGGGTCAAGAAGAAACAGATAATAGTGACAACTCATAGAGAAGGATGGGAACTTAGTGAATTGGGACTGGGAAGGAGGAAGAGATTTCACAGTATGCCTGCCTTTTTGAAATTTTTGATTTTGCAACTTTGCTAATATAATACAACATCAAAAATATTAAATAATTAAGATAAATTAAAAATTTCTTGTAATCAAAACAAAGGGAGTAAATAAGTTGAATGATATTGGGGAGCACTCTTCAGATAAGGCAGATTGAGGGATCTTCCACAATGTAGAGATGGCCTTAGGGGTCTTTGGCCAGGCCACCACTCTTGCTCTTGGATAATGCTAAAATGGACATTACTGTTATTTATTTCCCAAGGTCTCCTTTTTCTTCACTTTCCTTGATAACCAATTTCTATCTTCTTTTTATTTTGCTTTGTTTAAATACTGTGTAGAGCATAGCAGGTTTGACTGCCATCCTTTGAAAGATCTGCTTACAAGGCTGGCCCTTGGCTGGCTTCCAGGGACTTAGATTTGGGGAGGGTTCCCATCATTAGCAGAACTGATAAAGAGTGGCTCACTCTGCCTAGACTGTTTATGCAAATAAGATGGTTTATCCGAACACCTGCTTTCCTTCTGGGCACCCTGCATTTTGGTATGAGCCAGACAGAGTGCCCGTATGATCAGATCCCAATAAAAACCCTAGGCACCGAGTCCCTAATGAGCTTTCCTGGTAAACAAGGTTTAATCCATGTGGTCACAACTTGTTGGGAGAATTAAGTGCATCCTGTGTGATTTTACTGGGATAGGACCCTTGGAAGTCGGCACCTGGTTTTCTTCACCCCACCTGGCTTTTTCCTTTGCTGATTTTGCTCTGTATCCTTCTACTGTAATAAATCTTAGCAGTGAGTATGACCATATCCTGAATCCTGTGACTCTTCCTAGCAAATCACTGAACCTGGGGGTTATCTTGGGGACCTCCAACACAAATACGTTAATACCTTCTTTCAGATTATAATCAAATTTTGGACCTGGGAAACAGTTTCTTTAAGGTGCTTTCCACATCTCTGCTCTTATCCATTCAGTAATTAATTTTATAGTTCAACTCCCATAGGATAGTCTTATCATCTTTATTTAAAGTGTCTAAGGAATGTCTCATAATTGCCCACATATATGAATTATATGAGTCAATGCTACTAGGTTAAGAAAATTATAGCAAATGTATATAAATGGAACATGTACTGAAGAAATTTTAACTGGCTATAGCTTATGTATTAGATTACTATTACTTTTAGTATAAATTCACCCCATACCTAACCACTCTGCTGAATTCATATTCATATTAATAGGTTTTCCGTGATTCCTTTGGATTTTCTAAATATAAAACATCTGCAGCTAATGATTTTATCTTTCTTTCTAATATTTAATGTTTTGCGTCCTCTTTCACTAGTCTGAAAAACTTTTTGTTATTGTTTCATTTTGGGAATGTTATAAACTTCTGGTTGAGACTAAAATAAGATTATATCACAATGATAATAGCAGGCATTCACTTTTCTTGCTTATTTTAATTAAAAATACTTTTAGTGCCTCTAAGTACAAAGTTGGTTATTTAATATGTTTAATAGGAGCTCTTCATCATAGGTTCAATGTTTTAGTTAAGAATGGGCAATGAATTTTATTAGCTTTACAAAATGACACTGAAATAAGCATGTGATTTTTCTTATTTATCCTGACATGGAATATAGTATTGATTGATTTTCAGATATTTAACCTTCATGTATGATTTAGATAAACTCTTTTGGTAGATTATTCTATTAATAAGCCTATTTGCTATTATTTTACTTAAGTGTTTTTGCTCTGTTTTGATAAACTAAACCAGGGTACAGTTTTCTTTTTTTTTTTTTGAGACAGAGTCTTGCTTTGTTGCCTAGGCTAGAGTGAGTGCCGTGGCGTCAGACTAGCTCACAGCAACCTCAAACTCCTGGGCTCAAGCGATCCTTCTGTCTCAGCCTCCCAAGTAGCTGGGACTACAGGCATGAGCCACCATGCCCGGCTAATTTTTTCTATATATATTAGTTGGCCAATTAGTTTCTTTCTATTTATAGTAGAGACGGGTCTCGCTCTTGCTCAGGCTGGTTTCGAACTCCCGACCTCGAGCGATCCGCCCGCCTCGGCCTCCCAGAGAGCTAGGATTACAGGCGTGAGCCACCGCGCCCGGCCTCAGGGTACAGTTTTCTTTCGTGCATGAGCTACATTTATCTGGAAATAGTATCATTGTCATAACAAGTCCTATGAATTACTGAGTCGTCACCACATTCCAGAAACTATTATAGGCTTTTTAGATCCTAACCTGCAATCATAAAAATCCTATAAGATCAGTATTGACAATTTTTTTTTTTTAAGACAAGAGTCTTGCTCTGTTGCCCCGGCTAGAGTGCAGTGGTGTCATTGTAGCTCACTGCAACCTCAAATCCCTGGGCTCAAGCGATCCTCCTGCCTAAGCCTGTTGAGTAGCTGGGACTACAGGCCTGCACTACCATGTCCAGCTAATTTTTTCTATTTTTAGTGGAGACTAAGTCTTGCTCTTCCTCAGGCTGGTCTTGAACTCCTGGACAACCTATTTTATAGAGAAGGAAAAAGAAGCTCAGAAAAGACCATGGACACGTTCAAGGCCATACAAGTGTCTTGTGGCCTAACTGCTATGGAATGAATTGAATAGTTCTGATCTTTCTCATTGACCTGAAACTGTGTATCTGACTCTACAAGTTTAAAAGTATGTATTGGTAAACTTATAATTAGAAGCCTTTCTTGTGGCAAAAAGGAGATAATTTTATAACTTTCCTCCATTTATATCCAGTGATTGGGCTTTTCAGATTTCCTTCTTAAAGCCATTTCACTATTTTTTCCCACAAAATCTCTTTAACTGAGACTTTCTTTCTTTTCTTTCCTTCCTTCCTTTCATTCATTCATTCATTCATTCATTCATTCATT